TATAATAAATAGTGTGTAGAGAAAGCATTTCTGAAGAAATAAGATATCCTCGAGCTCTTTACGACATTTTTGCATGACACAGCATTCATCTTACGGAAGGCCCTAAGCGCGTATCAGTTGCTGGTATGGGACAATCCGTAAATTGAATGCTGTGTCATGCAAAAATGTCGTAAAGAGCTCGAGGATATCTTATTTCTTCAGAAATGTTTTCTCTACACCGTCGAGTTTTTGCAACGAATTTCGAGATTGAACTCTGGGACATGATTTTCTAAGATTCTGGTTTTCCAAAGACCCTGGCTTCGAGAACTTTAATAGAACCTTTTTATACAGCACAGCATATTCCAAATTCTATCAGTTGTTGAAATGTTTTTTTAAATTTGTTCTAGCTAGTATAGTCGACGAGAACAATGAAAAATAAAGATAGCGAGCAATTTTTGGAGCCATTCTACGTTAAAGCGACGCAGTATTTAATATGCAAACACCGCTGCCAAGCTTCATTAAGTTTAGAACGTTTCACGGCGCCTCGAATGATGTATGAATGATGAGAGATCATCTTTAGTTTTACAGAAAAAAGTGATCAAAACTTCTCTTGGCGTACCTGCGACTGATGGAAAAGTCCAATATTAAACCCATAAACCTGCTGCCAGGCTTCGTTAAGTTTCCTATTGATACATCTTGTAGAACTTTTCATGGCGCATCGAATGATGTATTTTACTAGGCTTAATGTTGGATGGTTACGGAGAAAGTTTAATTTTACAGTTATACTATTGGTGCTAAATTGTTGCTTGTTTTCGAGTAGATTCTGTCGGGTATATTCGACTGAAAGCATTTGGAAGGGTCGGAATCATCGAATATGATGATCAGATGTGATTCTGATGAGTTTCATACCGATTGGAAGGGCTAAAGTTAGTGGGCCGATTTCACGTCTTATGCGGACTTCACTTTTTTTATCATGAAATATGTTTATCAAACTCTTTACAGATTTTGATAAGGAACTGAATGTTTTGCGAAAAGAATAACAGTCAGAAGTTCTAAGGGATGCGAGAAAAATGAAAAATACTAATGGTATCAACTATTTTTGCCGCACTCATCAGTAAAGAACTATATATATGCATCAACAAGGAAAAATTATTATAGCCACGAACCAGTGAATATATGGTTCATTATATGTTTTTTCAGTACATAAATAGAAGAGATCATATTCGAAGTGTATAATCATTAAAGACATGCTAATTCAATAACGACATTTACTTACGTTGCATTACTAATTGACGACATATAATTCTGTAAAAAATGTTATTAGGAAGTAATGTATTTGCTAATTTCACATTACTATTTATTTTACAAACTGGTGAGGACTTCGTCCAAGTTCGTAATTTGATGGGAACATCACAGATAACTTATTTGCCATATAAATTAAAACGTTCTTATATCAATAAGGTCAGTTCCAGATAAAGACAGATACAACAGTACTATCATCAAAGTTTTTATAGGTTGAACAATGTAACCCAAATGATTTAGAATTAGATAATTATCAACTTTATTTTGTGCCGTCAAAAAAAGAAGAATTCATAGATTATACATATTGGTCAAATATTTATAAATCGTTACCACCTGTTGAACATTATTTTGAGACAAATTTAAAACAAACAAAATTAATGGTATTAGGACAACAAAAAGAAATGTCGATAAATTCAATTGATGATCCATTTGTTTATATATATTCACAAATTTTACAACCACGGGGTAAGGGTGATTCAGCGGCACTGAGACAAAACTGGGAACAATTATTACAAATAATAATAAAATCAAGCTCAACAATTGCACATCAAATTGGTAAAAGAGCATTCTGTATTAACGAGGGTACGTGACAACAAAGTCTAATGAGTTAACAAGTTAAAATGGCAATATTTTTTAGCTTTAGATTATTGTCCAGGAAAAGGAGGAAAAAGCCGAACAGCATCGTCTAGCAAAGTTACTAAAAAGAAAAGTGATGATTATAGCGTTTACACATGTTGCATGGAATGTCAAAAGACAAGTGGATGTATGGCTTACTCGTTTCAACATGGCAGACCAGCTTGTTGTTCAATTTTACAAGAATATGGAACAGAGAAAGATTGCAATGATTGTACAGCTGGCACAATGACAAGTAAGTCACACAATTATTCGTAATGAGAACAAGCAAAAGTTTTTATTCGAACATTGGTCTGATTAATCTTACTATATAACAAAGTTAAAAAAGAAATTTTGGATAAACTTAGTTCCTATCGAAATATTGTAGAATAGTACGGAAATGAAAAGTTAGTAATCTGAATTTTATCTGTCATTTCACTCTTTCTCACGCGTTTTTTAAGATGGAAAATTCGACACTATAACAACGATAAATTTTGTTCTCAATACGCCAGTATTACAACTAATGAAATTTACAATAATTTAGCTAAGAACATCGAATAATAACTACAAATGAAGAAAATTATTTATTCCATGCAACAAGAGTTCTACAAATAGATTAACCGTTGATTTCTGATTTGATAAAGGGTTGGACATATTATAAGACCTGGGTCTATTGTGTCCGAATGAACAAAGATTTTAGAGGAGTCTTGTATTTTGTCCCTTAGAAAAAGATTAAGTTCAGATTTGCAGCTCCCAACTTCAGCAGTTTCTAGAGAATACGCGCTAGTGTATGCTCCACAGATAGTCCTGTGTTAGAATTTGTATTTCCTAAGAAATATTTTTCAATGTTTAAGGTACTTCCCTCGTTTTTAAATTTGATATAAGCTGTCATTTTTCACGATGAAGTTCTTATTCGTGGATATCTGAAACCACACAGATAGCAAATGCTTGTTGATTCCCAATATCGGATAAATGTGTTAGAATTCCATTAGTTTAGCGCATAGGAAGCATTTTAATAAAAACTATGGGATGAAACCTGTCTGAAATATAATCCTGAAGAATATGTAAGTAGGTTGCCCGAACCATTTTTCAATGAATAATACGATTTTTTAGCTTTTCTGAGTTCAAAATTTAAATTAAAAGCAGTATTTTAAAAATACTTTCTCAACACAAAGATCCTTAAGAATCACATTCTGTACAAGCAGAAATTGAAAACGACAACCTTCATTCATCCAAATTAAACATTTATAGAGTTTTCAACAATTTGTTCTGGTATTGTATGCCCTGAATGCGGTCAAGACAACTGTGTGCGATGAAATAAAACTTATGGCGCAGGTAGTCTTCACCATTTTTGTTTCATTTGGGTATCTTCCCATTACAAAGTATATACCAACTAATCTCGAGTTACACATGAAAAGTTATCCTCAAAAAGTTAATCTCAGCTAGCAGTTTGAAAACATAGGAAAGTTTCAGATAAGAATAAGGTCTCTATTCCGCCATCCCAAAATGCATAAATTCCTAATGTATGACCTGTGAATCACAAATGTTCCTCGTAACTTTCGCAAGGGAGCAAATGGAGCATTTTATATACTTTTGGTAATACTGAACAACGAGCGTAATTACCTCTTGTCGACTTGCAGATTGTGTGATATAATGAGACGCTGTTGGAAATTAACCGAATCAGATTCAGTTTTGTAGGCGATCGTCAATTTTGAGAATATAATATCATTTACAGCCAAGCTCAAATAGACTTTTTCCCTAATTAAAACTAAAATCTAAATTATTCTACGTATTTTTACAAAAAATTATACTTGAAAAGGAAGTATCTTTAATATCTCTGCTATTTGAGATGGTATAGAACCTTTTTTTTATTCGATTTAGAAGAAAATATTAACTTATCAGAACTAAATAACTAAAATTATAAATTAGATTATTACTAGACTACGATCAGAATTATATAGAATTTTACAGATTATAAAACTTTTTTATTTTTGGCAAGTACGAGTTATGTTTAGCATATGTTCGAAAATGAATGAAAAATAATAGTGATAAAAAACTTCAGAAGCTTGACTCTTTTATCTCTCTACTACTCTATAAGTTTTCAGTTTGAATTTAAAATACGTAATTTTAGAGGATGAATCTTTAATGGAAGTTTATTTACGTCTTGATGATTCGATATGTGTTAAAAGTACAATCTACGATATATTCGATGATGTTCAAACTCTCTTTTACACACCAAAATTTGAAGATTTATTTTCAAATTATTCTGAACCGAAAGCGGGATGGTTACGTTTTTCTAATGATTCATCATCGATTCATTCAACCGAGATGTTTTGTTTGTATGCATGTCGTAATTATCTCTACGCTGTGTTTCAACAACAAAATCAATGTCGATGTTTGACACGTCATTTTCAACAAACGAAACAATTATCAACAAATTCTTGTACGGAAGCTTGTGAACCTGGTCTAATACATGAAAATAAATTGTGTGGTAAAAGCAACTAAAAAACATTCATCTCTTTCAGTTGAAAAGAGTAAGCGGGCTTGTTTTAGGTAAATATAAATCGACATTAAGATTAATACCAAATCAATTTGATAAAACAAAAGAAATATTGATGAAACATGAACAATGGAGGAGTGATCAGTCGTCGACAGATGATGCCATACAAATTGCTTGCTTTGAAGCAAACGATGAACATTCACAAATAAAAATTGACAATACAACCATTGATTTTCATAATGATACAAGATATGTTAGTGATTGTTCAGAAAAATGTAAACATCGACGGTATTTTACGATAAAAAACGTTCAAGAATGTTGGTGTTATGAGGATTTTTTAGAACATGGTAGTCGATTAATCAAAATAGATCGAGATGATATGGCGTATATGCCATGTTTAGGTAAAACCCATAATCCATATATATATGGACCGTGGTTTGAAGCGTGTGCTGTTGCATCAGTGAAAACAGGAAAACATGGACTGTGTCTATATCTAAATCTCAAGAATATATCATTAATAGAAGCTGGTTGCTATGAAGAAAGTACAAAATTCAAATTGCAAGAGTTCCCAATCAAAAAAGAAGGCATTGAATATATAGATATGAGTACTATACCGAGAGATCTCAATAGTCCACTATATCCACAATATCCTGGATATTATGCTGTACCAGCATATTGGAGAGAAAACACACCAACTTCATACACAAAAGATAATTATTATGTTAAACATCCGTTTCTTACTTATTCTGGAATCGATTCAATCCCACGTCTTCTATTTCAAACATGTATGAGATATTGTTTTTTTCAAAAAACGCCACTATTTGCTATAAGAGAAGAAAATGGAAAAATGGTATGCTCATGTGGTCAAGAAACAGAAAGATGGTCAAAAAATGTAGCTGAGCATACTTGTACGTGCACAGAAAGATGTATCGACTATCCACAACTAAAATGTGGAGGTAAAAGATACAATTCGGTCTATCGATTGACAGCAAATTGGTCAATAAGTAGAAATTTTTATTCGTATATGGGTACGTACAAGTATCTCTTATTGAATTAATATCGTGATTTTTACAGTCACCTATTTTAAATGGTAACTTAGTGGTAGTACGATTACAGAACTTCTGTATGGCTAGGACTACTAAGACAATACCAGTGAAGGAAAATACTGTTTAATTGAAACAATTATAAGAGTCAGTAAATTACTCGAAATAAGTCTTGTGGTAACAGCAACCATTGAGTTTGATTAAATTTTATTTAGTTCTCTTAACCCTTTACACCCTTATTATAGCTTCAGCTGAAATATTCACTGAACTGAAATATAAATTTTTCTTTTTTATTTCAATCAAACGTAAAGTTATCGTTGTTGTTGATCGTCTTAGCTTAGAAAAAGATTTATCTTTTGAGCTAATGATCCATTCTTTTTATAAACCTATCACATCAATGTCCCTTGGAGGGGACCGGCGGGTGTAAAGGGTGAAGGTTATATAAAAGCTCGACGTTAACTAAGTTCAAAACAGTTCACATTTAAAACATTCTTTATTCACCACTACTCACACATCTGAATGCTGTATTTGTTTAATTGTCACAAATATTACGTTTTTAATCAATTTTATAATATTACTTGCATTTAAAAGTGGGATAAAAGTAGTGAGAAACGTAAATTATTGTTTTTCCACTTAAAAATGTGCTATTTTTGCCCACTAAAAAAGCCAAGGATTGAAACTTATGAATGGTGAATCGTTGGAACAGTTTACTCTTATTTGATGTAATAACGTTCTCAATCCCTTGCTTCAACTGAATGCGAATTGTATAACGTCTAATTTCGACTCTAATTTTCAATAATGATAGTTATGGTCATTTTAGGATGTTTTTCCAAATCATTTGTTGACCGTAGTGGAGAGTGGCCTCAGTTGCCAATTGATAAACGTTTAGGTGGCCTCTTCACTTGTTCAACGCGTGAAAATGAAATTATATCTATAGAAGAAGCAGTGGATTCGTGTAAATTATCATGTCAAAAACGGGGATATTATTATGTGGCTGTTTATGCTCGGCAATGTCACTGTGGAAATGAATTTTATGATTTCGAACCTCAAACGTATGCTCAAGATATCGAATGTCGTCCTCCACAGTTAGTTATACAAACACACTATGAAGCACCCTACATCATTCAAGGATTAACCGATATGCGTAATCAAGGAAAATATTGTATTGGAGAAGAGAATGTCTGTATCTTTCGACGAAAACATGCCAAATTAGAATGTGTTAGTAACGTAACTATCCGAGACCAGATTGATAAAATTAATGCAAGTTGCGATTTAAGAGAAGAGGTATTGCATGGATTTAACCTGGAACAGTTTCTAATCGAAATGAACTTGACCGCGCATGATTTGCATTATTTCAACTACGAAACAGATTGGTTGAGTATGGCTCATTACGAAACAAATTTGTTTGCTTATCTAAATCCAAAGGAAATTTTGCCAAGATTGGGTTACATCGATACAATAATAAAAACAGAAGGTATATTGCGCTCTTTGTGGCTCACGTGACAAAGTCATATCGTTGATATCAATACTTGTATCACGGTCTATACGAGAAACTTGTTCGGATAACTCTCTGGAATAGAAATGTGAGTGACGTTATGTTGTTGTTCTTTTAAGGCAGTTTCTTTGAACAAGCATGCGATATTCCCAAATGGATTGATAAAGTTATCACAATGTACAAACAACATCGACGCCTTGTCGAACCAATGATACACCCACGGAAAAGGCGAGATCTCTTTGGTAATGTGACTGTTATGAACTCATCTATTGTATTCCGTCCTTTGATCTACGTCAACAATAATTATTTGTTGCATGACTATAACTCTGTACGAACAATATTCTCGGATAAACTCATGATCTCATCTGTCGATTGGTCACATGCTGGTATTTATGAATGTCGACAATTAATGTCGAATGGTATTACATATAGATGGCCGTTCTTGTTGAGTATTCTCTATAAACCACAATGGATAGAGCTAAATAAAGAGAAGAATGTGGCAGTGAAAGTGGGAAGCAATTATGAGTTAAATTGTGATGTAAGAGGGCATCCTGTACCAACCATCAAGTGGTATTTTAAACATGACATTCACGGAAGTAATGAGAGACAACTTTGACTCACAATTTAAAAATTCTAATTCAAATTATGTTTAGCTCGTCTCGCCAAAGAGTGGCACGAAATTCAGTCAAGTGGCTATTATTATCGAATTCTTGACGCTCAATATTCTCACAGTGGTTTATATCGTTGCAATCTGGAATCGAAATATTTGTCTAATAAATTATCACGCGAATTTATTGTTACAATCTATGATTATTATCCACAAGAACCCCAACTACTCGCTCGTGAATTCATAAATCCTATTCAAAAATGGATTGGTCAATCATTGATGCGCGTATGTCTTGTTCAATCAACACACAATCATCCATTTTTCCTACAAACACGATTTCATCCTAGACATCCTCGATATGCAAGACGATGGGTATCAACAAATAACATGATCAATATTACGACAGTGGATTTTACCCATGAGGGGATTTATTCATGCGAAGCAACGAATTCATACTCCACAAAAGTATGGAATTTTACCGTTCACGTTTATGCTAAAGAACTATGAATTTCGCTTCGCTTTGGTGCTATTGGTTTTTTTAATAATATTTTATTATAGAATACGACAGAACATTTACTTTTGCATCATATTTGAAAATATGAATTTTGCAGTTTTTTACTCACAAAATAATCCATATTTTACAAACTCATTGTTATTTGCATTTTTTGTATAATTCATATTTCAAGTTTTCAAAATGAAAATTTTCTCCGAAATTCATACAAAGTAGAAAAGTGGCTTTTCATACAATTTGGATAACTAATGTGTTGTTGTTGTTGTTGTTGTTCATTCTACTGCTGTTTATGATGAAAATGTTAAAATAACTGTGTTGACTACTTGCGTCAGTGGAAAAGAAACCAAAGATGTTAGCCATACTATCGTCGTTGATCGATGTTTTCAAAACTAAACACTTCTACAGATATATCTTCATGTATAGAATAGGAAAACGAATAGGTCTTTTTCTGTCTGTTGTCAAGTGTGTTATCAAACTAACATTATTCATAAAATAGACTTCTATATAATGGACGTAGTTATCAGAAGAAAAATTATGCCAGAATACAATTATAAACACTACGCATCTGTACATTGACGAGAGAAGAGTACCACGATGACAGAAAACGATCTGAGCAAGTTTGGGTTGTCCCCTGAAACTCATATTAAAATAATTTTTTTGTGGAACCACACAATTAACGTACAAAAAAATACATTCCGAACATGTAGTCGCGAAAGCACTATAAACTTACTTGAGAACTGTTTTTTGACATCTTAGTTCTGAATCTGACAGTTTTATGTCATGTTTCTACGCTTTTAATAAAACCGCTCTGATCATACGTGAAATTAAATGAATACAATCGATGTTTCAGTTCTTTACGAAAAAGAGGACTAAATTTGTTTTTTCATAGAGCAATTTCTATGAAAAAACAAATATAACGACTTTGTAAGGACTTAATCAAGTAAGATACGGATCTTTATTCTAGCATTACATCTTCTTCTAGTGCTCTCATTATTGTTTATCCTTAATACGAACATCCATTGTGACAGTTTAATAATCTTTCTTTTCTAGCGAAATACATCTACTTATTCGAAACGAAACTGCTCAATGTTGAAAGAACCGTCATTTTGGGTTCTAGAAACCAAATTCACCGTGTACTCTAAAGACGAAAGTATCAAATATTTATCGGTGTAACGATCAAAAGATTGTTCAACTCTGTAGAACAGTGTCATCGTGTATTAACATATACCTTATCTTCAATTTTTATGCAATATTCTATTAATGAATGTGCTTGTGTACAGATATTTAGACAAAATACTTCACTTACATAATAAAGCAAGTTCTTGCTTTTTTAAAAGTAAATTTACTTGTAAGTATTCGATTTGTCATTTAGTTATCAATTAAAATTGCAAATACTTTCACAAAGTACGTTATAGCAATAAAATTAAGTGTTACAATCTTCGAGAAGTACTTGTATAATTACATTGAAATTAAATAGTTTTGGAAATACTTGCTGCTTTTTCTAAGCACTTAGATTAAGTTAGATTAAGTTGACTAGATACTTAATTTTTGTCTTTCAACCACTTTAAATTATGAATACAGCTATAAAAGGCTGACTATTGCTACAGTCACTTTTATTATATTATTATTCGTTTATCAATGCATTAATATTATACGAGTTTAGTTTAAGAATGAATGTAGATAGCTAAATGGGACATATCATACATATATCGCAGTTTAACAAAAAACAACAACACCAAATTATATTTAACTGACAATTTCCGTTCTACACCGTTGTAAATATCTAGCAGACTTTATATTTTGGCAGTAAAATACTATTGAATAACTAGAAAGACAATGAAATTATAAGTTGTTATCGAAAAACTAGCTTTAGCAGCAAAGGTTTTGCTTGTTTAGTTATAATGTTCAAAATTTGTTTTCTTCCAAAATAAGATTTATTATGTATTTTTTTTTTTACATTAACTCAGTTATTCTGCATACAATAAAAATGGTATGGATATGTTGTTGGAATCATGTGTTTGAACAAAATAAAAAATACATTGTTCAGTGACGTGTTTCCATATTATCTAGCATCTTTCTTTAGTGATTAGGCTATATTCACTTGCCATTCATATACTAAAATGCAATATTCTTACAAATTATTTATTATTTATCAGTATTAGAAAAAGAAAAAAACAAGTAAAAATATTATTCATTTTAAAATTAATTTAGTGTCGATTTATGACAGTAAAAACTAATCTATATATTTATATATTTAAAAATTATTTTTAGTTAAATATAACGCGTAACATCTGACCAAAAAATAAACACTAGAAAATAACATTTGATCTTTGTCGATCTAGTACACGTAAAATGATGTATTCACGACGGTCACAATTTGAGCAATTTGTTGTGGTGATGTTGGTCGAGGAAAACGATCATAGGTTTGAGGGTATAATACAAAATTAATTTCATTGAGCTAAAATAACAAATAGAAATTGACTTATATCAAGAAGCAAAAATTTATCAATTTGATAACTAAAAAAAAGTTGAAGAATAATGTCGATGGGGAAGGGGAGGGAGCGGGAACGGGAGAATCTGTATTGAAAACACTGTAGTACACTATGAGTGGATCGCTCTTAAATTATTATTTATGTCATCAGTCTGCAGTATTATCTCGTATTATATGCAATATTTATAAAGTACATCAAAGAAATATTATTAATGAGTATTTGTATAAATACTAACTATTGCACATAGAAGACAACATGTAATCCATACAATTAATTCTCGTACCATATATTTTCTAATACATAATATTAATGCATTGATAAACGACCAAAATGAGAGTAATAATAAAATAAAGGTGGCTGTAGCAACAGTCAACCGTTTACAACTATTCATAATCTAAAGTAGTTGAAAGATAAAGAGTAAGAATGAAGTATAAAAATTTGAACATGAAATATTGGATGGTAGGCAACCATACTGTTCTACAAAATTTATTGATCAAATCTCAAAGTAAAATAGATCTTTTCTCGAAACAATTTTTGTTTTTCTTAAACAAAAACTCATTAAACTAAGATATTTTTCCATATAAAACGAAATCACACTGACGATCATACAAAAATAACGAAAAAGTCCTTATTCATAGCTCTCTTGCAAATTGTTAGGCAGTGATATCCATATTACTATATTTTTTAGAAACTATAGTTTCTACTTTCCACTTAGTCTCTCTTCTATCGTATTCTATTCTGTTACCTGCATATGTTTGAGTTTTAAATATTTTACTTTTACATGTTTTTTATAAGATAGTGCATTACAAATCCTACTGTTTTAAAAAAAAGTACGAAAGTATCCGTGGATTTGCTTTCAATCAAAAACGAAACAACCTGGTTCAAATAAATTTTCGAAGAAAAAAAGTGGTTCTAGATTGAATGTGTAAAGATAATAATGATGAATAAAACCCGTAATTGTTTAAAAATTTGATATTTTACTTAATTTTGTCTGCTGTACACAATAGCGTTGTTGAAACTGGTAACGTACTGAAAAGGATATAGTGGATTTTGGGACGTTTTACTAAAAAATTCCATGCTTATAGAAGAATATTGGTTTTTTCGTCTTCTATCATCAGTTAATGTTTGCTATGCATATTTCAGCTTGTTAATTTGATTTTGATTGAGTTACGAATATTTTATTTTTGTACGTTTAGTACAACTTAAATTCAAGGTCCTCTCACTTTCAGTCGAAAACAAACACTACCACAACATGCAACACGATCGATATCTGATGCGTCCGTTTGCTTTCAAGATATCTATATCTCTCGTAAGCGTCTGCGTAGTTCATAAGAGAAAGTCTTCAACAAAAAGGTAGAACAAACTGCAGAACAAACTGGTTCAAACATTCAGGTCACAAAAAGTTTCTAGGTGTAAGTTTGTCTTTACAATACTGTAGACAGAATAGATTTCTTTTCCTCTCTGGAGATGTAAAAATAGTATATGGAATGGAGTTTGGTTGTTTTTTATGAAAGAGAAAAATATCTACGCATCTATTGTGCAAAAACACAAGAAAGAGAGAAATAGCATATATACATCTGAGTTCATCACCTATGTACAAATTACCGAATAACTAACTACTAGTCGAAGATCACAGATAAATTCTAGCAAATTTTTTTAATATTTTGCTTTTTTCTTGTGTTTTTTGTTAGCATTTGGGCATTTCAATAACAAAGATCAAGCCAAGATCAAAAATATTCTTAGTCGACCTTACTTTCGTGCAGCTCAATGACAAATGTGACCAAAAACTTTGAAAATATTTCCAATATTTCAGTGATACGTATTTACCATGAGTATCTGCGAAGCAAAATAGTGGTTGAGGATTGCTGGGATTCTAACAGCGTTCTACCATTTTTTCTAAAATTTATGTGCGTTTACAAAATGTTCTGAAAAACAAAAAATCCCATATAAAATGGGAATTCCGCAGCAGTTCTTACGTGACACTTGCGCTGACGCACTTGAAGTGTGCCGATGATACACTTTTAGAAGTGGCACACAAAAAGCGTCCAAAAATCCTACCGTAGTGTGCCGAAAGCACACTAGAAATATGTCAATGGCACGGTAAAAGCATGCTAGCAGCACATAAAAAGTATACTTTGGCACACGTTTTCCATGCCATTGGCACAATTTAAGTGTACTTTTTCTAAAAGTATGCTTTTCCGGGACAGTGTGCTCATTCACTAAAGTTATCCTTTTAACTGTCACTGGTCGTCGAACATCGAATTATTGATCCATTACATGCTGCAGTCAAACTTTGCTCGAGCCAAATTTGCTTATTGATCTTTCTGATGCCACGCATTTATTTTTTAGATGAAGACATCAATAAAAAATAAGAAAATCAACGATGCGACAGTCTTCATTGAGGATTCGTACCCTCAATACACAAAATACGACGCATCATCACATTCCTTAATGGTATTTTGTCTGTCCGTTGCTTATAAAAATGGTGATTCATCATTGTTACTGGCCACTCGACTAATATTTCAGCCAACCCATATTTGAAATAAATATTCAATGGAAGTTCCCGTCCGTTTCATGCAAAAGAACGATTTTCATATTTTTTCGCATATAAAACTTTAAAATAAAGAAGTTCGACTTCGTCGTCAAATTCATTACTGCCATCTAATAATCTGTCATACTACTGGTTACCCCTCGTAAAACCGCAGACCGTATGAACAAAACTTTATTTAATGTTTGTTTGTTTACCAGACGGCATCATGCGGTTTTCAACTCATCAGAAAAATTCTGTCTGAGTCTGTCACTTGTTTTTGCTTATTTATCCTCTAGCTTATTTTTCAATAGTAGATTAATCTTGGTAATAGTCACGTGACACTGTACAACAAATACAATATACCTACCATAATGTATTCTTCAGTGAAAACGTCCACGGCTACGTTGGCTACATAACTCTGCTACCACAGTGTAATTTCATTATGTTGTTTATTGTGTGTTATTTTGCACACTCTACATGCTCTTTTGTTTAGGAACTGTAGCAAACAGAGAAATTTAGTGGAGAATCGAATCAATAGGTAAAGGTTTTTTCTTATTTATTTTTTTGATGTGCTACATATTTCACAATTATATATCGTCTTCAAATCTAAATTTATTCGTTCTCGAAAAACGATAGCCGTTTTCTGGTTGTTTTTTCTCTAAGGAATCAAGGCGCTTTCGCGTTATTGAATATTTCTATCTACGAGCTTGTAAAAACATCTGTCAAAATCAATCATCAAAAATGAGAACACATGAATAACTTAAAAAAAATATAGGAAGTTTTTTTCAAAAGTAATTTTCTATTAGATATAAGTACAAACTCGCCAATCAACTCAAGCTCATCATTCATAGTTTAAACAAACTACATGCTGAACAACATTTTACTCAGGTGACTTTTCAATTTCTAAGCAACATAGTTAATGTCTAGTAACCTATTGATCTTGATCGTCTTATCTCTCTATTGAAAAATACCTATCTTCTAAATCAGTTACTACAATTGAGCTGTAGCATGACCGATTTTTGCATGGCCATTTAGTGCAGAATGAACTATAATGGCCATGACAGAGAATACGTATTTTTTCATCCTAACGCGTTATTTAATAACTTTGCTAAGAAAAAAAAGGATAACGGCTGTTGTAAAAATGGTTTGTATATATTGTTGCTCATTCTATGTTCGCATTCCTGTTCTTACTAATTTTTTCTCATAAAGTTCATTCTTTGGTTTTCTATACATCTCTCACTGACTAAGATAAACTAGCAGAATCAGTAGGAAGAAGAAAGAATAAATTGTCTTGCGGCTCCCATTATCGGTGTAGGATACTGATAGTGCCAATAGCCCAATATTCTCTACAGTTCTAATAAGGTCACCCATCTCATTACTAGTCGTCAACTGTAGCTCTGATCAGGAGGCTAACCTGAAGCAGAGCTCTTTTCACGAGCTCCCCGTACACACTCAGTAGCCACTTACTAGCCTCCCGGGAAGCCATGAAGATTAACCACAGGAACTGTATTATATACCACAACGTAGCAGATAATAGCGAATTATTACCTTGCCAAAGGTAATAATTCGCTTCTGTCTTATTATCATTCAAAAAAGCACTATCCATTCCGTTATCTTTTATAGCAAAAATTAGCCATATTCAGGTAATGAATATCCGTCTTAATTTCATTTCTCCCATTTTATTTATTTTTTTCTTTCTTTCTATTTATCTACTTAACTGTCAGTTATACTTTAGTTTTCTTTGTCTATTTATTGTTATTTTCTTAGTTGTTTGGCTTCAGTTATTGTTATTACAGGTAATGGACCTTTGATCACAACAATTGGGCGCAGTTGAACCTTTTTTCTATTGTCTGATGAGAATACAGCTTTGTTTCTTTGGGACTAAACGTTGACAAGAAAAAGTAACCGATATTTCTTTTCTCTCGAATAGAAACAGATGTGTGCATTTCCTAATGATTCATTCGATTATTCACGCCATATTCCACGTCGAAATTGAAATAAATCTCTATTTGCTGTCGAGTGTTCTTTAAGAGTAACTCTCATTTATCTGTATTAGATAAATTCGTTTGAGTCTTATATGCTTATTCAATTTCTATATTAAAGGCACAAACTGTATACAGCTGTTTGTAAACAAACTTGCATATCTTATTCTGCAAGTATTTCCTTATGTATGTATCTACTTGAATTGGTTCACATCGTGTTTGATAGTCTGCAAAGAGTACTATATAGCACCATGATTTTTGACAATATCGCCTTTAACTTTTTTAAATTCTTCAACTAAAAAATGTTCAAGTAAATTCGTTTGTTTTAATTTGTTGATATTATCATAGATGATCCTTAATAGAATCTTTGTTTCACGATGAATAATAGGAGCGGATCTTACGCCTTTGCTCCAATAATGTAATATTGATATATGATGGGTTTTTAAATGAGAAGACGGTGACATAATTAAAAAATATATATATCTATAACAAAAACAACTGTATTTTCAAGTAGTCATTTCTTAGTCTAGCTATCGAAGCTTCATCACGAAACAAATGAAATTTGTAATTGTCCTAAATAATGAGAAAGCATTAAAAAAGAAAATTCTAATTTTATGCAAGTTTTTTTGCAAACAGCTGTATATCTCCATCCTCACATGATAAACATTGTTGTTTCCGTTTTTTTTGCAAAATTGATTAGTATTAATTTGATGATAAATAATATTTTTCTAGAACAGAAAATGAATTCGAAAGATCATCACCAACAACAACCGATTGTATTTACAGAATCCGAATGTCCAGGTGTTGAACAAGCATTACAACAATTTTGTCGTGCTACTAAACTGATGGAAGAAGAAGTCATGTTACCTACACGTTTAAGAGATTTAGTTTTAGAAAAATATCCACTATCAAATGGAAGTAGAAATTCGGTATCATACACAATATCAATTCCGGATGAACGCCGTTGTTATGAACTATTTTATTTTATTAGACGGATAAGAGATCAACTTAAATGTTTAAAACCATTTATATTGGACGATGATCAAACACCAGCACAGTGTAGTAAGTCAATGAAGGACTTTTCTGATTTTATTCTAGAAGTTAGCAATAATTTTACTCTTATTTCAGTGATGCAGTGTCACTACTTTGTTACTAGTCGCTAATTCTAGTATTAGAAAGACATGCTTAAGTGTAGCTAGCTAGAATCAACTATTTATTTGTCTATTTTTAGATTTAAGTATGTTATTAAAAACAGAAGATGATTATCCAAGTGAACAACCTTCTCACAATTTTTTTTCTGGAACAGAATCAAATTTAAACGTTTTATTATCTCAGTTAACTTATCATTATTATGGACTCATTCAAATTTTTAAATATTTAGCTCAATTAGCAAATTGTGTCCAATCAAAATATCATGAAGCCGTTTGTACCTAGTCAAATTTGTCAAAAAACAAAGAATTTTTTATGTGATTCTAGTCGTTTTTTCAGATTTATGTGTTGTGATAACGCCTATACAAATGATGTTTAATGTGCATTTTATATTTTATTCTTTTCTTGTCACAGTTTGATCTTCTTTTAATGGATACAGTTATGCAATTTTTAAGAAAAAAATAAAATATCGAAGCTTTTATTTAACAATGATCATGTTTTATTATTTTGAGAGAAATCGAATAGTTTGTAATGAAGTAGAAAGTATTCCGAAGAAAAGGTGATAAACTAGTTTAAGTTATTGAACCTTATTTGTCTATTATAACACGTCCACTTGTAAAAGTATAGAAAACTTAATCAAGACTTTCTTTACCTTTATTATTGTTAATATCTAAATTCTGCGAAGGAATTAGTGTAAATTTCAACTCTTTATTGAGTAAACAAATGGTTTAGTTCAATTGTACGCTTTTTAACTATTTTTAGAATAATTTAATTTAAATAATTTTCAATGATCTTTCTTATATCATATCAAGATAATTGTCCATAGTCATATTAAACACTCACAATTATTGGCATTTATTTAATTTATTCATCTCATCTCGATTAATTTTTAAGAAATCATTTCATATTATTTATTACTGTTATTTATATAAACTTTTGTCTTTAAATTGGGATTATTGTTTGTGTTCTTTGACGACATAAACTTGTTGAAAATAGAAAGAATTGTGACAACAAAGAAGTGTTTGTGCATGTATTTGGGTTATCTAACCAAACATATACAATCATCAGACTAAAATAATAATAATATATTTACTCGCTCGTACTAATCATCAAATATGTAGAAGAGAACAAACCGCAATCGTCTTTCATTCTTCTAGATGTAGAAAATAAAAAAAAAGAGAGAGAAAAATAAGACGCGATCAAAGAACGAGAAAAAGAAAAAAAAGAAAAACAGAAAAAGAAAAAAAGATCCCGCAAAAAAAAACCTCAACGTTCTTTTCGTCTTTCATCTAATGTACATCTATATGTGTACAGTGGGAGTGAGTAGAGATGAGAAAGAGACCATGAGAAATATATATGACGTTTGCTTTAGAATATTATTATTATTATTCTTATTATATCACATACAGATGCATGCATACATAAATACATCTTTCTCTTTATTGTACATACGCTTTAGAGAGTAAATTTATTTTATGTATTAAAAAAAAGAACATACATATAGAATAGAACGATATAAGGTAACAACTTTTCTTCTTCTTCTTCTTCTTCTTCTCTGGCGATCGTCCAAATCGACTCTATTTTTGTACAGTGTCCCATTATAGTTGAGATATTCGAAAAATGTACACATGATATTTTGTCTAATTTGTCGAAATTCTTTTTATTTTTTTCTATAATTTGGGTATAGATATCCAGATGAAATTCGTAAAACAAGGGCACACAAGATCTGTTATGTTATTGTGATATCATTTTTCAAGATTTTTGAATATTATGCAATATCTTGAGACAATATTTCATAGAATCTGAAAGAAAGATCTTCAAAATTTTCTACAACAGTCATAAGATCACATGAAATTTTACAATATCTTACATAAATCTTGTTTTAAGAGTTCAATTAGCTGGACGTTGATGATACAAATCTATATCTATCATTTTAGATGATACTCCAGCATTTAAATATGCTATTTTTATTGTTATTTTTTGTTATTTATCAATGTTTATGTCAACAACAAGCGCAGTTAGATCAAAATACATATTGTTTAATCGATGGTGTTCATGGTCGAGATGGAAAACTGCAACAATCACAAGATGGAAATCAAGAATTTGAAATTGAATTGTACACTACAAGATTTATACAAGATGAATCGATTACAAGTAAGAGATAATGAATTCATGGAAATAGTATTAATCGATGGAAATAACTCAATTAATAATATAATGAGAAAATATTTTTTGAAGTGATAATAATTTGTTTTCTTCATTAGTTTTTATTTTCTTTTATCTTTATTTTAGTTGTATTAAAGCAAATTCGCGAAAATCATGGCATTAGTGAATTTGTTTTAAAAGGTTTTGATCATAATAATGAAATTGTTGGAAAATTTGATAGAAATCGAATATCTGATACAAATATTAAATATTCTGATTGTCTACCTCGCCATGAAAACGTATGTAATATTATTCTACACTTTTCAGATAATGTCTCACTGTACATGTCATTTTACTTTTAGGTCGTATACACGAATAAATTAGTGCCTCCGATTCGAAAACATTTTCTTGCATGGAGAGCAGAAGTACCACATGATGCTGAACAAATTATATTCAGGTTGGTGGAAAAAGATTCGTTTTTCAGTTTGTAAGAGAAATATGTTAGACATATTCTTCTTCAAGCATTGCTTATAGTTATTTAGTGATATTAATTGTGTTTGTTTATAGAGCTGATGTTGTTAGTGGTAATCAACTTTATCATGTTCAGTCAAAACCGTTGAAACGTGTATGTTATTTTTGTTTTTCTATTTATTTGAATAAAATGAAAATATTTTTTTGTCTTTGTATGTTTTTTTTTCTAGCGTGTTGTGGGTATTCCAGATGGTCGTAGCTTATCGGTTGAACAATGTGGTGAAATTTATGGATGTTTAATTGTTCCTCAGCATTGTACAGATTCAACCTGTGAATATTTGATGCAATGGCATGGTGAAGATGATGATAAAGTTAAATTTAGTATACAAGGAAGAGCAAGTTCATTTGTTGGAGTTGGCTTTTCAACAGATAAACATAAGGTATTAAACAATATAATATATGAATGAATCAAATAGACTTTTAAATGTAGATCATTATCGTATATTGTTTATTTTAGGGCGATGATCAAATTGTTTTATGTATAAAAGATCCAAATACAAATTATGCTCGTATTCAAAATATGTTTTTAAGTGTTCAAACTCCACAATTAATTGAAAAAGATTATTTAACATATGGTTTACAAGATACAGATGCCTTTGCAAATGAGACACATATCAATTGTGAATTTACACGATCAATGGGACCTTACGGATATATTCCACCTTCTCAAACGGCTGATCAACAGCAAAATAGAGATAACAGAGAGAATGTACGACCACTACAATCAAAAATTCTTGATTTAAGAGAGCCACATTATGTTTATCCGCTTTATGGTGATCAACAAAGTTGTAAGTATTAATGACATTTATACCATTATGTTTGAAAATCTTACGTCATGAACGAGCACTTTTTCTTTGAAAACTTTGTGTTTTAATTTTAAGTACAACAATTATCGCCAGGTCCTGCTCTACCCATCATGAATGATCATGCTGTTAATTTCTATCGTCGTAATCGACCAAAAGGACATATTCGAGGATCTTGGTTAGCGAAAGCACATGGTAAGAATATTAAACATTTTAACCTTGAATATAACGGTCAATCGTTTTTTTCGACTGTTCAGCTGGATTGATGATGATTGCGTGGATATTATTGGCATCAACTGGAATATTGATTGCGCGATATTATAAACCCATATGGCCAAAAATTAATCATAAAACGGGAACACGAAGTGGCGGTTGGTGGTTATGGGTATGTTAACAGTGTGTGTGTGTATAGCTATATACTGAGAAGTAGTGTTTTAATATCATTCTAGTTTCATCGACCATTGATGATAACAACATCGGTGTTGTCTGTGATTGCTCTTTTATTTATATTATTTGAATTAAGATGGAGATGGACGTCCGGTACACATCATCTATGGCATTCGATTCTTGGCATAATCGTTATTGTATTATCATTCTTAAATGTATGTATTTAGAAAACACTCAATAAAAAATTCGTTGTTAAATCCATTTACTAACTGGTCTATTTCCTGTAGAAAATGTGGATTTAAACATGATTTTTACACTTGTAGAAAAACTGGCTTATTTACGTTTATTTCATCTTATATGATATATTTAGAGCTGAGGAAAATGTTTATAGACATAAAATTCATTATTATATTCATATTATTCGAAATGAACTTTCTTTTTTCTTGTTTTAGCCAATCTTAGGTGTCATTCGTCCTGATCCAAATTCACGTGCACGTTGTTGTTGGTATTGGATGCATTGGCTAATTGGTTCATTGGCTCATTGTATAGCAAGTTAGTTACTCACTTTACTTTTCAACAAAAAGTTTTCTTGTACAAAATATTGTTTATTTTTTATTCATTTCTAGTTCCTGTTATATTTTTGGGCATGGACAATCGTCGTCTTGATTTATGGAATTGGTGTTCGTGGTTACTATTTGCTTGGTGTATTTTTCACATGATCGTTGAAATTATTCTAGAAATACACTACTGTTGTACAATAACAAGAAATTACGAACGTACGCATTAGTACACTTGTTTTTAATTTTATTTTTAACTTGACTATTGTCTTTTTAGGTATGGACGAACTAGAATATCATCCAGATAAACAAGATCCAAGAAAACCAGGCAAAGCACCGGTTCGTATACTTTCTATTATCAAAAATCTTTTATTAAATCAACTCTTATGACGAAATATTCAATAACTTCTGCTAATAGTCATATATAATTTTATTTAACTATTATAGTAGATTTTAAATTGTTAGAGTTATCTGTATAGTACTTATTATTAACAGAATCGTCCACATAGAGTTAAAGGAAATATTCTATACATTTTTGCATTATATATATTATCCATGAATTGATTTTAGGGTTATCGTTGGAAACCAGGTCTATTAGTATTTTATATTTTCATAACATTAGCAGTTGTCATTGCACTTCTTATTGCTGTTATTTTATACGATGGATATTAAATAAATAAAAATCAGATTGTTAGAATTGATTTAAAGTCATATTGGTTGACTAAATTGTATATACGTCTGCGCTTATTTTACCTTTTTCTTATTCTTTTAAATCGACTTTTTTTTTTTAACATTAAAATAAGTACCAAAGTTTTTTTTTCTGTCAAAACCTGCGAAATCTTTTTAAAGAAATAACAGAATAGAAAACTTTTTTTATATCAATGTTGTCTTCACGTTAAACTTCTATTCATTAAATACAATTTTGTACGAATTAACTTTTTTTTTAAGGTCGTATTTTCTTACGATATTTGGAAAAAGTTTTTTGAACGGCTTTTACTTTTTAACAGGTTTAGTGCTGGTTTTTTTTCTTTTTCTTTTTTTTTCATAGTTGAATTTTTCAAGAAATAAAATACTCATGAATGGAAGACACCAGATCTGTTCACATATATGTGTGTTCTCGTTTTTTATTAGACGTTGAATAATTTTAGAGTTTTATGTTTTTCTCTCTACAGTATTAGTCTCCACTGTGTTCTGTTTTTCTTTTGTTTTTCGACAGTGATGTACTCCGTTTTTGTTTTTGTAGCAAAAGATATGAAAAATATCATGAATATTTCAGAATTTTTTTTTTTAGTAAATTTTTTCTTCTTCTGATACTGTCTGTCATTCTATTTAGGAAAAATTAAAATTGAAAACAAATTTTTTGACTTCTCGAAAACTTTTGATTCTTCAAGTATTATATACATTATCAAACAAGAAGAAAAACGATCAAATATAAACATAAATAAACAATTCAAAAAATGAGTATGAATCTATTACATTTTCTTGATTATATTAATGTACCGGTGCTACAATACAAATGAGAAACTTTTAAGGTTATCATTAAGATTAGTAATTTCTTGTATTTTCTCACTTATGAATATCCTATTGATAGTTTAACTTTTGAACAAACGATAAGATGTTCATTGTTGATCTAAAACTCTTCTTCTTCTTTGACCATTTAGCGTATTTCTCTTTTATTGCTGCTTCAAATACATTTGTGTCAAATTTGCTTCCTTGTTCTAATAACACGAAATTAATTAGCAAATCGGCGACAGTTTCTTGTTAAAATATGTAACAACTCTTATTCTTTCATATTCAATCATTAATGTTAAGTTGATAAATTATGAGCGCATATACATTCATTCTCAAATTGTTGAATCTGAATACCATTGCTGATTTGTTTTTTTGACCTAATCGAATGTCTGCGTGTTTACCGATACTTTTATAAAAGTTATTAGGTGTGACATATCAAATTGAGTTGGACATCTTACAGATTTTAGCAGTCGATCACCTGTTACAGTAAAGTGGTAATTTAACGCTAGATATAACCTAATTTATTTTCTATTAACATTACTTAATTTCTTTTTTATCACATTATGACATTTTACATTTTCGCCCTAGAGAGGAAACTCTGCGAAAATTTTCATGAACGAGTCATAAAAAAAATCTCAAGAATTATAATTCAAATAAATTACCCTTACATATGATATTCAGTAAAATAAAAAGACTAATTAAAAGAATTTATAATAGGATGCTATGCGGGTTTTTTTTGGGTAAGATTAATCATCATCAAACAAGGGGAAAAAAAACTGTCGAATAGGTGCAAACACTTTAGCGTAACAATCATTTTTGAGTGATAATTGTTTATGTTGATGTGCACTAATTGAAATAACCATAAAATGACTTGAATAGCAGCTTTGAATGTTATCTTCACCAGTTTTTGATTATTGTCGACATATCGATAGTTGAACTGTCGTTTTCAAGACAAAATAGAGTATCGAATTATGAATAAGAGTAAATAGTAAAGAGAGAGAAAAAGTTTATAGTTTGTTGTATATACCATAACAAATACACATAACAGAAATAACATAAATTGAAAATAAGGTTATTCAACTGTCAAAATTTCATATTATTTGTGTTATGTGTATATATTATGGTATATAGAACAAATAAATCGATAAACTTTACCTTTTCTCTCTTTACTGTTTACTCTTGTTCATAATTCAATACACTATTTTGTGTTGAAAACGACAGTGCAACTGTTGATATGTAGACAATAATCAAAAAATGATGAAGACAACATTCATTGCTGCTCTTAAGGTCATTTTATACTTTTAAGTATCACTTTACTTATTTTGTTCTGCAGGTAAAGTGGCACTCAGTCACTCTTAAGTTTTATTGCGTTCTCGCTGAAACAATTTTTTTTTTCAGTTTTATTTATTTTTTATCTGAATTACAACAATATTACATTGTTTTCAATACCATGCGTAGACTATCTTTTTCTATACAATGATTACAATACAACGTAAATGTGTAAGATGACCTCAAAAGAACGCATTGCACCGAAACATGTTTTTAGATACTTAGATATTTATTACAATAAGGATGATAATTATCCAATTCATTAGGTTTCTAATCTTCTACTAAACTCTATACACAATATCATTTTATCAGTTTTCTTTTATTGTAAGTGGCATGGGACTTCAACCGCAACGGTCATATTTCCCACACTAGTAGTATTTTATTCTGTTGAGCGTTTGGACAACTCAATCACTTCAGAACGGTTAAATTTATACTTTTCTCTTTCTATCGGCATTTACGGTTATGTCAACAAAATAGATCACTATAAAATACACGGTAAGTCAAATCAATCCTGTTTTATCTTGCACACACTGTACGTTCGTATGATCGATTTAAATAACAGTAAGAGTTATTTGAAAATTTTATTTATTTATTTTATATCCAAAAAGTATACTTTATTCTTTCTTTCTCCTGTAACAAATACGTTGTTGTTCTTATTCGAAATAGATATTAAAAAAGTAGAACGAAAGGATACAAAAAAAAGCGATTTTGATGTTTAACACAAATAATATTTGTTCGAATGATTTCAGATAAAAAATCTAATATTTATTGTAGACAAACGATACGAAAAAAATATATTGGTTAATTTTATGTTCATCTGAGGCAAACATAAAAAGTTTATTTTGTTCATTTATTGTTGTTGATTGAGATCTTTTACGCTCCTTCTTGTTCACCTTCTTCTTCACCTGAAATGTGAAACATGAAACATGAGATTTCAAAACTATCAGATTTTCTTTGAAAGATGTCTTTAAGATTTAATAAGATAGAAACATACCGCCTTCTCCTTCTTCTTCGGCTGTTGCATCTTGATATTGCTGATATTCTGAGACTAAATCGTTCATGTTTGATTCTGCTTCTGTGAATTCCATTTCATCCATACCTTCACCAGTATACCAATGCAAGAAAGCTTTACGACGGAACATAGCTGTAAATTGTTCACTTATACGTTTAAATAACTCTTGAATGGCAGTTGAATTGCCTGAAATGAAAAAGAAAAGAAATTGATTCAGTGACTAGATCTATGTTCGCCATGGTATGCAGGACAATTGTGAATTTCAGGGAAGAACATCTCGATCAAAATCTTAGAGAACAGTTGTTCTCTTACTGGCCTTTTCTGATACTCATAATATTACTCATTTTTCATATCACTCAAATTACCGATGAATGTTGCTGACATCTTCAAACCACGTGGTGGAATATCGCACACAGCTGTCTTAACATTGTTTGGAATCCATTCAACGAAGTAAGATGAATTTTTATTTTGAACATTCAACATTTGTTCATCAACTTCTTTCATTGACATACGGCCACGGAAGATGGCAGCTACTGTTAGATAACGACCATGACGAGGATCACATGCTGCCATCATGTTTTTGGCATCGAACATTTGTTGTGTTAATTCCGGTACGGTTAATGCACGATATTGTTGACTGCCACGAGATGTTAATGGAGCAAATCCAGGCATGAAAAAGTGTAGACGTGGAAATGGAACCATATTCACAGCCAATTTACGTAGATCAGCATTCAGTTGACCTAAAAACAGAAATATCAAAAATACTTTGCAGTCGATAACGCGCAAGTAACTAACTAACCTGGAAATCGCAAGCACGTTGTTACACCTGACATTGTTGCACTAACTAAATGATTTAAATCTCCATACGTTGGTGTTGTCAATTTTAATGTTCGGAAGCAAATATCGTACAATGCTTCGTTATCGATACAATATGTTTCATCGGTATTTTCGACCAACTGATGAACTGACAGTGTGGCATTGTACGGCTCAACGACGGTATCACTGACTTTTGGTGACGGTACAACTGAAAATGTGTTCATAATTCGATCAGGATATTCTTCACGAATTTTTGATATTAATAATGTTCCCATACCACTACCGGTACCTGAAAGATAATTAAAACGATTTGAATTTACAACGCTAATGCATGACAAATTAACCATGCTCTATGCGAATTTCCACTGTAATCATTGAAGCTACTATTTTGGTACTACTTTAGGTAACGTTTTAGTCACTTTATTGTAAGTTTATCGAATATATCTTACCTCCTCCTAATGAATGTGTCAGTTGAAATCCCTGTAAACAATCGCATGATTCTGCTTCTTTTCGTACAACATCCAATACACTGTCAACTAGTTCAGCACCTTCTGTGTAATGACCTTTAGCCCAGTTGTTTCCAGCACCCGATTGTCCTAGAAAAACAACGTTTGTTTTAGACACGTCTTTTCAATTTTGTTTACATAGAGATATATACCAAAAACGAAGTTATCTGGTCGAAACAGTTGACCAAATGGGCCGCTTCGAACACTGTCCATGGTTCCCGGTTCCAAATCAACTAATACAGCTCGAGGCACATATTTTCCACCTGTAAACCACGTAAAAGTATTGAATATATATCAGTTTACAATAGTTACAACAGTGTGCATACCTGCTGCTTCATTGTAATAAACATTGATACGTTCCAACTGTAAATCTGAATCGCCATGATATGTTCCCGTTGGATCAATTCCATGTTCGTCACTGATAACTTCCCAAAACTAAATAATAAACAAACTGCTAACTGATCGTTCTTGTTAATATTCCTGAATTAGGACTTTGAAAATACGGATGCGTGGAATCAATTTATAGCTTCACTAAATTATTACTGTTACATTATCAAGTGCACGTGATGAAACGCGTGATGTGTTCTTTCCTTAGTTACATAGTAACGAAATAAAGTTTTGACACGTGAACATTCTGTACTAAACAGTGGTTAACCAGTAATAAATATCGGAACATATATATTCAGCAAAAGTTTGACTTAGGAAATGAATTTTTCGATTGAACTTCCATTAAGCTTCTTTCTTCAGGACTACTTACTTTTGCTCCGATTTGATTTCCACATTGACCGGCTTGTATATGAACGATTTCTCTCATTTTTAAATTTGATGTTTTAGTGTGTAGTAAAAAAAATATACAAAAGACTAAGCTTTAGAAGCAAGAAGACGATGAGACGCTGCGCTGTGTCTTGTATGTGTTTAAGGCGAATAAATGACGATAGACTTCAAGTTTATATATATACTATAGAAGAGAACGTACGAGAGAATAGAGCAGAAAAAATAAAGCTCTGATCTTTGTTATAGCAACCGCCTCTCTATCCACTGTGTTTGTTTGAATCTACGACCGTTTTGACGGTATGGAGAAGAGAACATTACACGTTCTGTGTATCTTGGGAACGATATAGGTTACTGGCTGACTATTTTTTCTTTTTTTCTCTTTTCTGCCCGATTTTTTCGCTCATCTATCAGGTCGTTGCCATGATTGCATAATGAACTTATTGAATGTGAATGAATCATCATTAACTGTTATAGCTAATTGTGGTTCAGTAAAAATGAATTATAGAAAAGTTCTTATAAAAAAGAAAAAGTTCTGTTTTTCTTTCCTGTTTTTTTGCGTATCGGTCTGAAATGGAAAAGGTGGCAGCAATTTAGGTTATTACATGTTTTTACTATAAACGCAGCTGCTACTAAATATTCGAGTATTTAACCACTAATTCATATTATTTGTAATCGAAACTAGTGTAAAGACACATGTAACTCTGGCAGGACTAGACGGACTAAGGAAATTGCATCACACGGTTTGCTATCGTTTTCAAATGATTGCTGTTCTTCGACCCGGGTTCAACAGTATTGTCGATACATGTAGATATCGTAAACATTTTATTTCTTTATCTTTCTTTTCGCAAATTTATGAGTTAAGATTCAGATTTGTTGGATTTTGTCTTTATAAACCCGCATAAAATTATTTACATTATTTATCGCTAATTGTTTTGATATTTAGCACTGTATACTTCTTTGTTTTAAAACAGGCCTATAGATCGTGATTGTAATGATGTTTTACATGAATGATGTGGCTCAATTGCTTTTTTGAAAACAAGTCTGACTGATTGCAATACGTGAAAAAATGGGTCATAATTACGATCAATTTAATAAATTCAGATAAAAATCAAATTAAACAGCGAAGCGAAGTGAGACTATCTTTACTGGAAGTGTCGGATCATATTTTGGGAAATCGAAAAAGATTTTTAAACGTGTGTCATAAACACGTTAGAAAAGTCATTAGTTTCCAGTTGTTCATTTTTTTTAATTTGAACTGACGTATTTGACATTAAGAGTGCACGAAGTTTTTGCCGAAAGTTTTCAGTTTACAGACACTTTATACACTTAGTTTCTATATGATTCGAGATCCTGATTAGAAAGCGTTAAAGTTCAACGTATTCCAAAAAGTCATCTTCAATATCTGGAAATTTCTTTGACTAGACTTGTTGTGTGTTTAAACTAACTGCAGTAAGACACAGAACATCTCTGACGTAGTGCACTTACTTATTCCTGAATAATTTCCCACTGATGGAGTTGATTTTCTCTATTATTTGTAGAATTTGGTGATGATATAAATATCTAGAGATGATAGATTGTTCTCTTTTTCTGATATTAGTTAATTCTGTATGAAAGGGTTTGATCGAATTGTTTTCGGGCTATCAGATATTAGTAAAATGATTATAAGTAATGACAGAAAAAGCGTATGTAAAAAGAGAAAAATACTTAGAGCTGTTAGAATGTGGATGTGACTCCTCAGCTGTTTTACATTATTACTGGAATACCTACGAGGCACGATATTTATACAGAAATGCCTGGTATTGAAGTATGCATATGCACGAATTACCAATGGCATCTACTTTCATATTCAGAAATTGAAAACAAACTATGCTATTGACATAGCTTTCTCGTTAAAACGATAAATGCACAAATTCTGTACGCTATAGAAACGAACGCATTACTTTTATACTGCTTACTGCATCCAGAGTGGAAACCAGTTTACTAGAAGAGTGTGCTTTCAGCGCACTGCACTGTAAAACATAATGTGTACCCGGGGCACGATGGAATTGCACATCACTTTGGACTCAAAATACCTACTGAAGATGGCCTGTTCAGTGTACCCAGAACACACTGGAAATTGCTCATTTAAGCAACTGCACGTCATTTTGAACTCGAAATGTACCCTTGGAGAAAAATACACTAGCGGGCACACTTTATTTTTTACAGTGTGATGTAGTCCTCCCTTATTATTGAAATATTTCAGAGTTAGGAAACCGAAATATAGGAAAGTATTATGTTCTTTTTTGAGTGTTTCACAGCTCAGTCAAAATAAAACCGACGTACTACATCAAAATATTTATGAAACAATAGTTATCCCACTTCTAGAAAATTGTATTTTTATCAGCTCGTTTAAAAGCCTAAAACGCCTAGCCGAAAAAAAAACAAAGTTTCTTTCAGATTTGAAGTTCTTTTTTTTGGAAATGAACGGTCACTCGACAGATACCGGCTCTATGCTCTTTCATTGAAGTACAAAACCAATCTGATTACAACTGTGATAGGTTATAGTTACGCGAAAAACGAACTACCTAGAGATACAAAGAATCTGACTCTATGACTTTTTATATATTTGCAATCGAAAATGTTCGAGTCAAATTAGATCCATGCTCAAAAGTGCTTGATGAAAAATTAAATCAGTTTTTATTATTTTTTGGGATTTACAGTGTGTATACTATAGCTGAATTGCTTGCATCTTTTACACTGCCTGTTCCATTCAAAGGCGCAACCAGAAAGTTTTATCCATGGGACCAACTCCCATTAAAACAAAACCAAGAAATTGATTACGTTACAAAAATCCAGGAAAGTACCGGGCCAAAGAAGCTTTTTTTGTTGAGCTTTAGTTAGGAAATTCGTAAATTCTGAAATCTCATTAGGCTATGGTTCAATGCCTCCTCTCCGGTAGTTGCACCACTAGTTCCATTTATGGAATATACATCCTTCTTTTCGTTAAAATTGTTGCAGAGTAATGAAAAGTTAAAAACAGTTGCTACTAGGCGACAAAAAAAAATAAATGTTATTAATAACAATAAAGTGAAAGAAATAAAAGAATCGAATTTTTTGCTGTTCCTGTTATAAGAGCAATATAATCGGCATTTTCGTAACCATATATACAACTCTTATTAGAAAAAGAATCTACTGTCTTCCATTCAGCAGTGGAATTTTAGGTTTTTCGTTAGACACACGAAAAATAAATTTTTTCTGTAGTCTTTATATTGCAATTTAAACTTATGTCATATAGAATAAAAACGTGAAAACGAGCAATACTATGTATACACACTGTAAAGTAGAAAATAAGTTATAGAAAATAATATACGGTTTTCTAAAGAATGTCTATATGCGCTTTCGAGTTTTCATTCTCGTGTCTCATTAAACCTAACATTTCTGGAAAGTTTGGCCAAAATCGGATGTACAGTGTCGGAGATAATTTCTGAAGGGGTAGGGCCCTTAAAACAATTCAATCGTGTTTCTCCCTATATCAGTGTACTCATTCTAACTATGGAGGATATCGTATATTTCATAAGCAAGTGTACAAAAAAACTTTTCATTTTTAATCCTGTTTACTCATTTCGAAATTAGTAATACTACTCACGTTAATCTATCTGGTCATAAAGGAGTATTTTTATTAGTTAACAATCAGCGCGCTGTTTGTGTATGAAGAAAGGACGGGAAGCGGTTTCCGTAGGAAAATGGTCCAATGTGATTTTGAGAGAAAATGATGGCAAGTACGTTTTCACTTCCCAGCACTGCCCACGCTCAGAAAGTGCTCCTAGTCTCCTTGAAAATAAACTTTCGTCTCATTTTTCATCACCATTTGAACAATGTTCACTCACTTTGTTCCTCAAAGTTTCCATATAAGTTCAAAATTATTTGACAAGAACTCATGTACAGACAGGTAGAGAATTCTCTACGCTACAAAATGAGCTATAAATAAGCTTTCTAAAACTATACCCATATAGGATTGTCAAAATACTAAAGAAATATCATCATTTTCACCTGGATTACTGGACAAAATTATAGAAAAGATGTGTTTTATGTATTTCTCCTCAACATAAAAGGAAGAAACAAATCTAAAAAAGTTTTAACTAGCTAAAAGAATTTCCAAGCTGATGTGGTGTACGTGAAGGTTCTATCAAAACTTCTAAAGCCAGGATCTCTGGAAAACCAAAATGTTAGAAAACTAAATCCAGGAATGCCGTCAAGAAATTCTTTGTAAATAATCCAGTCGTTTAGAGCACACATTTCTGAACAAAACGAGATGTCGTCACACTCTGTGGGATACTTTTTCATGAAACAGCACTCAATTTACAAAAGGTCGCATACCACCAAAATTAACGACAGAACAAGAAAGACATTCCCTCACGCCTTTTTATAAACTGTATTTCATGAAAACATGTCGCTCAGAGCTCGGCGACGTCTCCTTTTGTAGTGCAAAAAGTTCTCTATCTTTCTATATAAAAAGTAATTCGGTTCTGAGCAGACGCATAGAAGAAAAAATCAAAAACAAATTATTTTATGTAAATGCATGAGTGAAAAATCTTGGTTTTCTGAAATCTCCACTCCCCTCACTTTTTAAAATTATTTCGAATAGCCATCGAACAGAACATCGCTCAAAACCCTTAAGTACTGAAATTAATCAAAACCCGTTCGGCCCTTCATACTGTAAAAATTGAAAACTTCCTCATACTACAGACCTATTGAGTAAAAGATAAAGAAAGACAACTTTGTTAATTCAGAAGCCTATGATTTAGCTTTAAGGTGAATAAGACTCCTTCAGCTCACGACACCACGAACCACTTCGTGCCACTGCGAGCACTTCGGCACTTCACGGAATGCGCCTTTCTCCCTTGGCGCAAACACCCTTCTGGATGATGATAAAATGATATACGATGTGTTGCAGGAACTGTTGCTGATACATAATGACAAAAAGTCTTTTTTTCACACTAAAGTTTCAAAACTGAGTAAAATCTATATGTCGTTCTCATGAGTAGTTGCCACTGGAAAACATAAAGAAGTATGATTCTGTGACCTGCACTGGTCAAGGTCAAAATTTGTAGAAGAAACTAGAAAGTTTAACTTTAAGGTGGCTTATTGTTATTCGATCTAATGAACAATTTTGCCTCGGGTCTGACCTATAAAGTTGAACCTGGACCTGCGAACGTGCACTTGAAATAAATAGATCTAGACTTGGATCTGACCTGAACCTGAATCTATGATCTGAACTTGTGACATGGACGCTGGGTCCATTGCATGAAAAAATTCTGAGAGTAGTGTGAATTTACAATATCCTATACTAGAGTTTAAGAATAGTTCTTAGAATATGTGAGAAGCCCGTGATAGATATTTTGGAGAAGACTTGATATAAGACTTTAGGTCACAGGTATAATTGACGTGCGAGTAGATGTAATCTTTTTCATTTCTAGACAAAATATTTTACTCAGTACTTTCGCTACAAGAACATTATTTCAGGTCAAAAAAACGAAAACACAAATTGTCAATTTGATTTTGATTGTTGCATATTTATTAATTACAAATTCATTAGTTATTAATGGTGATAGTTGTTACTGGCTTGGTTGTCATGTCCATTCCGCTGATTCTTGGTGTCCAGCAGGTTGGCTTTTGTTTTCAATTAAAAGACAATGTTTCTCCGTTTAAATGTTATTTTGTTGGTTTAAGGTACATATACAAAAGATTGGAGCAAATGTATGGGTAAGTCAACAAGCATCCTACATGCTCAATTGCCATGGCTGCTGTAGAAAAAGCTGGCAACATAATTCAAAGAAAATGAAGTAGTCGTATAGCACAGATCGAGTAGTGGATAGCATGAACGATGGTTGATTGTAGTAGAGAACAGAAGTTCTTCGAAAAGTTTTAGTCTTATCAGTGAAGTTGAATTTGTTAAATTTGTTTTCTTGATATAAATATGTATCTGTCGAGTAGCGTTAGATATTTATTATTTTCAGGTGGTTTTGGTAAACAAGAATATTGTTGTAAAAAGAACTATAAGAAGCGAACAATGGATGCTCGTGTATGTCATTAGAAATAAAAACTTAATTATTTATATCATATTTTGATTGCCATTTTGTTTTAAAAAATTTTAGAAATTTGAATCACAACCTGATGCTGATGATGACAGTGAACAACTTTTCCATTGAATAGTTAACAGACGGATTAGTCTGCCTATATTTCACACACGAATTTTAACAAATAAGATTATTCATAACTCTATCTTCTACTTTCTAATATGTCAGGAATGTGCAGACATTTTTCGTACATATTGAAAAGTGTCTGTAAATTTATCAAAAATTTTGCCCGCAGTTTCACGTTTCATATAATCTTTATAGATAATGACATCAAAAAGGTTAATTTGATCTTCTT